TAAGTAGGCCCAGACTCTGAAATTAACCCAGAAGGCATGGAAATTTAAACCAGAGTGTGCACCAAAATACTATGGCAGCAAAATGATGCTTTGCTTCACATCATGTCTCTCTGAATGTGTTTGTCATTATGCTTTACTTCAAATACTTTTTGATCTGACAAACTCTCAATGAGTTTGTCAGCATATACTGGCAATTAACTGAATTATCTCAATTTTTATTGGCTTTAATTTAAAATCTACAGTTCCATATCTGTATACATTTTCAATAACTGTACCTTAAAATGTGCTTGGGGTAACAGTGTTTAAAAAGAAATGTACATATCCACCTTACTTATGTAACTGTAACCCCTCTGTTCATCACTTGTACAATAAATAAATTTAAAAGGGAGGGGGAGAACTTTCATTGCCATCTTGCCAGGTAGCACTGACTAATGAATAATAGCTGGTTGGTGACAAATCTCTAACCCCCATAGCTTTAAGAGGCTAATTATAGTACAATGTCAAGTAAATGGTTAAATTCTTCCCTCTGGGATATTTAGCTCTAAATAAGGTCAACAGATGAACAAGTATCTCCAGTAACCTGCTAATTGATACTGAATCTGATAAAGATGGCTTAGTGTTTTTTTTTTCCTTTTAAAGGGCAGAAAGCAGTTTCTAAGAGATATGCCATTTTGTTGTTACTTCAAAGCATTACAGAGCAAGGAGAGTTTCATATTGTTGTAGTCCTAGCTGTGAATGAATCTAATTTGGCTCTTAATCACAGATTTAATCATCTCAGTACTCTGCATTTCAGGGCATAAGTCCTTGGTCCCTCAAGAGAAGGTGGTTGTAAAGGAAAAAAAAAGGAATGCCAAAGTGCCCAGTTACTTCCTGTAAAATAATCTACCCATTAACTCTCATGCTCAGCCATAGTTTAACCTACCATAATTCGTTTGTAAGACATCAGAAAGACATACTCTTTGTTCTCCTCTCTTGGAACTTTTACGTGGACAAAGGTCTTCAGTTATAGAAAATGTGGTGAAAACACTTTCAGAAATGTATGCTAATGTTGTAACACATAGTAGCTTTTTGAAATATTGCCAAATTAATTTCCATTGTTTTTAGAAACTGGTCACAGACATAAATACTCAAGGAATATGATAAATTTATCTTTCAGTCCACTTGGCAACAAAATATTGTCAGTATGAGTATGTGTTTCATATAGAAACATATTTTCTGGTATCTGTCTAGATAAATTCTCCTTAATATTAATTCCAAGTTTGGATGAGTTTTATTAGACTTTGGTGTCTTAATTATAGACCAAGAAGAAAATAATCATTTTCACATGATAAGAAAGAAGAACCAGGTACTGGTGGCTCACGTCTATAATCCTAGCTACTCAGAAGGCTGAGATCTGAGGATCATGGCTTGAAGACAGTCTGGGTAGGAAAGTCTGTAAGACTCTTATCCCTAATTAACCACTATAAAGCTGGTAGTAAAGCTGTGGGATCAAATGGTAGAAAACTACCCTTGAGTAAAAAGCTCAGAGACGGTGCCCAGGCACCTGGGTTCAAGACTCAGGACTGACAAAAAAAAAGAAAAAGAAAAAGAAAAAAAACATTAAGAGAAAAAGAAAAACACAGGTAAAATCTAGAACAGAATGTCATTGTGGATAGCACTTCGTATTTTGAAGACTTAGGAACATCTAAGATTAGTGAATCAGAGAGCAAGAGAGATTCGTCACTGATTTTTTTTCCCAGTCTGGGTTCCAACTCAACCTAGTTAATATCAATGATGGCTGTTAGAGAAATAAGAAAGGAGCCTGTGTTTGGCTGTAAAAAGCGAGAGTGTAATCTCCAATTCCTGCACCTCCTGCACCTCCACAAGTATGCTCTCATATCTCCCACACCTCTCCATTTCCTCTCAGGGAAGTTCTGAGCTTTTCCACGTAACATTAATGGACTCTAGCTCACTGACCCAGAGAAAACCGTCTGTGCCTCCACCTACAAAGTGAGGTGATTGTATAAATAATTTAAAACAAATGAATCCTGTGCTCCCAACATGTATTTTTCATGGCCTGTGTTCAACTCAAACTTGCTTATTCGTAGAGCGATCAGTCCATCTAAATATGGTCTGGTGCTCAAGGGCAGAGGACCATGCAGTTAAAAAAGAAAGTAAAAAGAACCATACATAAACATCTGAGACAGTTTGGAGAATGTTAACTTTGGCTTGAAGTAGGCAGTATGAACTAAGTTCTGGTCATATGGAGCCATTCATCGCAATTTCAGTTCTACTTTTTACTGCACATGATCCATTTTGAAGATCTCTTAAAGAGAACTCAGGCCTAGACCTGTTTGTAAATCCCCTAATTAGCTAGTGTAGGAATAACTTCTATCCTCTATATTTCAAAATCATATAACTAGTTTCTTCATAATGGGTGAGCTTTCATATAATCCAGCATGGCTCTATTTAATTAGCCTAGGTCATATGAGCAGAACTTTTACATCAGATTGTTTTTTATAGTAGAGGGATTTGAACTCAGGACCTCCTGCTTGCTAGGCAATCACTCTACCACCTGAGCCATGCATCAGCCTATTTTCTCATCAACTTCTTCCTTTATGCCTTTGCAGAGTTCATGCTTCAGGAAACCCATTCTTCAGACAGGAGTCTACCCACCCTAGGCACTGGCTGACTATCTGTTGAGAAAGAAAGTGTTTCTTTATTTCTTTTTTTTGCTCAGATTCATCCTCCTTGAATTTCCTTCCCACTCTGAGCATATATAATCACAGCATCAGAAGAGGACAGGGTTCAAGCCAGACGTAGGGGTTCATGCCTATAATTCTAGTTATTCAGCAGACTGAGATCTGAAAATCTCAGTCCAGAGCTAGTCCAGGCAGATAAACCCAAGAAACTCTTATCTCTAAATAACTAGCAAAAAGCCAGAAGCATAGGTGTAGGTGGGGCTTAGATAGTAAAGTGACAGCTGAGAGAGAAACAGAGACAAAGAATAAGAGTGAGCCAGCAAGCAAAAGAGAGAGAATAAGAGAAAAAGAGACAGACAGAGATGGTCAAGTCCAGGCTCCAGTTTTATGGCCTGAGTACTACTTAGTCTGTCACCGAAGATGATAAAAAAAAAACCTTCACAAAAGCTGGAAAGCCTAGCAATTCACCAGACTAAGAGACCGAATAGACTAAAAGACTGAATCTAGGTTTATGCCGCACCACATCTGATTTTAAAAGGCATGGATGATTTGAGAAAAGAACAAAATGCAATCTACAAAGTAGAATGAGCATTGCAGTCTATTCTTTTCAAGGACATAATTAAAACAAAGTAAAAAAGCCTTGCAAAAAAGCAGCCAGATGAATTTCGATGCAATTAACCAATAGGCATCAGACCATAACTGGCAAAAGGATACGTGGCAAAATGTAAAGAAATTATTTTCTGCCTAGCAAAAGCATATTTGGAGCTATAAAAAATGAGTGTGCTATATTTTTGCACCCTGTATTTGCTGACTAAGCTAATGATAACAATGACATAAATAACAACCATTTGATTGTCCCAAAGGCATAGGCCTGGGATTTTATGGATATTATTTCTGGTACATAAAATTATGTAACAGAATATGTGTAATTTTACCACTTTAGAAATAAGGAAATAAACACTTAAAACACTCTAACATCAATTGAGCATTTACTACAGTTCATACTCATTTCTAAATGTTTTCTATGTTATTTAATCATCATAAAGTATGGGGATTTGTCTCAAGCCACATGGTTGGGGAGCAGCTCAGCTCGGTAATGATCCCAGGTTTGGTAGACTCCAAGCTCCTATGCTGCCACACACTAACTCCCAGATAAACCAAGTTTTATATACATAAAAAATAGTTGAAAGCTGGGCACTGGTGGTTCACACCTATAATCCTAGCTACTTAGGAGGCTGAGATCTGAGGATCGCAGTTCAAAGCCAGCCTGGGTAGGAAAGTCTGTGAGACTCTTATCTCCAATAAACCACTAGAAAACCAGAAGTGGTGTTGTGGCTCAAGTGGTAGAGCACTAGCCTCGAGCTGAAGAGGTGAGGGACCGTGCCCAGGCCCAGAGTTCAAGCCCCATGACCGAGCAAAAAAAAAAAAATTGAGTTCTATGGAGCCAAAGGAGTCTGACTAGTTGCCACTCTATTGTAGACTCTGAAATAAAGATATATTTCTCCAAAGTAAAGATGATTACAAACACACAAGCAAACAACCTTGATGAGCAGAACATTTAGAAAGAAGAATGTACCTTCAGGCCAAAGCTGAAGACCAGAACATAAACAATATTCCTAGTTCTTGTCACCACTGGCTAGAGAAAGCACAGGGCTCTTGGCTGGGCTAGAGTTAGGTGAGATGGGCCAATACAGAAGAGGAGTCCCACAACAGCAAAAAACCAAACAGAGTCTAAAGGAAGAAGAGACACTGCTTCCCAGTGTAAGATCCAGAAGACCTGAAATTCTTGTCGAATCCACAAACCCAGCCCCTGATATATGCAAATCAGAAACACAAGGGTTGACATGGATAAGACAGAGGTCTACATTAAGGTTCACCCCCTTAAACATAAGAAAGCAAAAAGGTAGGGAGAATAGGAAGCTGTGGGAGGTAATGATGCTGAATCTAAGAACCAGAGGCAGAGAAGGGAAGACCTAGAAAGGACTGACTTTCTACAAAACCAGCTACCTCTTGGGACACAGCAGCTGAGAGGTTCACTTTGATTACTGGCTGGGGATAGTACAGTAAAATGAAAGGGTATTTAGAATCAGAGTGATTTGGTAGAAAAAGGGGGCGGGGAAACAAGATAAATAATTTGATGTAAAATAAAAAAACCACATATATCCTGTGAAAAGGTGGGGTAACTACTGTACCCCCTAACTGAACTACCAGATGTTTCTCTTGCATCAAAACCTCCTTTCTGCTGGATGCATTTCAATCTCCTTCTTACTGGAAATCAAGTGCCATTTCTTCAGTGAAGAGAACAAATGTGAGTCTTACTTGAAGGATGGAGGTAGATGATGTCTTTCACTGTGAAGTCTCGGGACTGAGCAGCTTTCAGACAATCAGCCAGCAGGCTCAGGAGCAGGAGCCAGGCCAGGGCAGAGCCAGGTTCCATGGCAGAGCAACGTTTCACTCATACAGAGGGCCCCTGAGTGGGGACACAAAGCGATGGGAGACAACTTGCACCTGAAATAGGAAGACAAACGCATCTCAGTGACTAGTAAGCACAGGACTCTTGGCTAGCCTGGGACAGGTAAGATGGGCTAGATAGGCACAGAGATCCAGGATGCAAGAAAGCTGGGAGTCATAGGAAAAAACTTTGTAAATGGTAATTTTAGAGCACTTAGAACATTCCAGCCTAAATCTACTCCTAATCAGGTTGCGAAAGCTCCACTGGTAGCAATCCCTTCTAATATCCAGCAGAGATGGTATCAGGAGAGATTGAATTTTAATGAAATCCTGCTATTTTTGCCAGGAGGCCAGGGGATGGCTGCCAGAGAGCAACAATAAGTAAGTCAGATACAAAAGCTCAGAAGCATTTCCACCATAATGGTGTAGGCCAGCACAGAGCGAGGCCTTACTGAGTCTTGTGGCTATGCAAAACAGTACAACATAGACTCCCTGATTTGGAAAAGAAAAGAAATACAGGTAAGTTGACCTCAACCAAACCAAATCACCTTAATAGCACAGAATCTCCTTAATAGAACTAAGGTATGTTGGTCAGATACTACTGAAGTCGTTTATAAATATCAGCTTACTATACTAATAGCCCTATGAGTTAGGCATTATGGTTCATTTTAAAAAAAACCAAGGTCCAATGAATAGAGGCATAGGAATTTTAATTTCAGGCAATTGGAATTTCAAGTCTTTATAGGCAATGCTGTGTTCTTCCTAAGATTGATTAAGGATATGTAAACAAAAACGATGATAAGACATATTACAGCTTAGCACTAAAGAATTATCCACTTTGTTATTTATTCTGATTTTTTTTTTCATTCAAAATTGGGCATAACAGAAGTTTCTAGTAGGATTAAATTGCCTAGCTCACTTGGAATGCAGCCATATGTTCTAATTTATATGTGTTTTCTATTCACTTACCCTCTTCTTAGCTTACTGTTGTGCTTGCTCCTCACATGCTATTTTTCAAATTTTTATTGTAAAGATGATATTCAGATGTTACAGTTATGTAAGTCAGGAAATGAGTACATTTTAAATAATATCTGTCACCCCCTCCCTAATTTTCTCCCAGTTTTTCATCTCTTCCCCAAAGTTGTATAGTTCATTTCCAACATAGTGTCTAATGAGTATCATTTCTGAATTGATTCATCCTTTTTCAAGTACTGTCATCTCTCTTGCTCATGCAAGGAGTCAAGGTTAGATATTGCCTTATTTTAACCTAGTGGAAAAACCATAATTTGGATATTTTAATCATATACCTAATAGAAATATTCAACAGAAGTTTTTTTGAGTAGTATAAGTTTTTAATTACTTCATAAAAACCAATAGACAAAGACTAAATATTCTGAGAGAGAAAAATAGAGAAAATCAATACGGTCTAGTCAGATATTTTAGTATTAAGAACAGTGTGAATCCAAACAGAATGATAAATTAAAAAATACAACAATGAACTTAGAAAATGGAACACTCAACTGGGCGCCGGTGGCTCACACCTGTAATCCTAGCTATTCAGGAGGCTGAGACCTAAAGGTCACGGTTCAAAGCCAGCCCGGGCAGAAATATCCGTGAGACTCTTATCTCCAATAAGCCACTAGAAAACCGGAAATAGTGCTGTGGCTCAAGAAGTAGAGCGCTTGCCTTGAACTGAAGAGCGTAGGGACAGCACCCCAGCCCAGAGTTCAAGCCCCACAACCAACCAAAAAAAAAAAAAAAAGGAAAATAGAACACTCAAAAGCATCCCAAAACAGCTGCAACTTACGATACAAGCACTTTTTCAAAATTACAGAACAGGATACTATTAAATATAAATACTGCAATCACCTTATTAAAATTATTAAAAGGGGCTGGGAAGGTGGCTCAGTGGTAGAACGCTTGCCTTGTATGCCAGAGGCCCTGGGTTCGATTCCTCAGCACCACATAAGCAAAAAAGAAAAAAACCTGGAAGTGGCCCTGTGGCTCAAGTGGTAGAGTGCTAGCCTTGAGCTGAAGAGCTGAGGGACAGCACCCAGGCCCAGAGTTCAGGCCCCACGACCGGACCCCAAAAAAAAAATTAAAAAAATAAAATAAAATAAAATAATTAAAAAGTTTAAATGAAACCAAACAATAGACAATGCACTAAAATTATTTTCAGATGTATCTGAGTTGTCATTATTTTAAGAAATATTGAGGAATAGTTAGAAAATAAGAGTTCTGATCCAACAATGTCAACCCTACCAATTTTATCTTATTATGCCATCATCTGTTTGCAATTTGGTTCCCTGAACAAACTCAAATTCAGGATGAGAATAAGTTTTTCAGCCAGTTAATAAATGTGACTGCCAGGAACTGGACTAGGCACTTGGTTGAATCACATATTAAAAAAAAAACCAAGAATCAATTATCATTCCTTTGCTGAGTAATTGTTGAGTAACAGAGACAAACATCATCTTAAATGGATGCATATTGCTTCATTTCACATCCATGCTGGTACTCATGTCCAGCATAGTGGGTAGGTATGGTTAGGTTGCACTTGAGGGTTATACTGTACTTGAGGGACAGTCGGGCATAGCACACAGAACCAAATATCCTTATCTCTTCCCAGGTCTAGCTTGACAATCACACACAAAAATGTCTGGAACATTATGCTTGTAACTATAATCATAAATGTGAAGAAATATATTCGGATGAAAGACTGGAAAACAGAATACAAGATAATATAGTAAAGGCAGTTTATGGGTTTGTTAGGGCTGCTCCAGAGCAAAATACCACAGGCCAGACATGGGCTTAAAGAACAGAAACCCTGAAGTCCAAGGCTAGGGAGTTAACAGGGTGTTTCTACTAAGGCCTCTCTCCTTGGCTTGCAGTTAGGAACCCTCTCACTGTGTCTTCTAAAGGCCTTTTTCACTAGTGTCTCTTCTTATGAGGACACAGTGCTACTGAATAGGACCCCACATTTATGATTTTATTTATTCTTAATTACCTCCTTAAAAGTCCTGTCTCCAAAAGCAGTCACATTCTACTGAGGATAAAATTTGACTTATGAATTTGTTGAGACCACATTTCAGCCCAGAGGACAAGCTTGTCTTGTTTTGTTTTTTCCCATTATACAACATTTTTTATCACATGACATGTCACAGAGCTCATAGTGGTGTAAACGATCTGAGGTTCCAAGGAGAGGTGTGGAGCTCTGCCCACCTCAGAAGCAATGATTACCCTCTGCAATGATTACCTGTTACTTCCTTTGCTCCAAATGTGGACTCAAAGACAACTCAGTTGCCACTATATAAGGATGGCATGTTTGTCAGACTCTCCCAGTCCCTCTGCTATTATCTGTGCCAGCTTGTCCTGTGTTGTGCCTTAGACATGAATCATAAAAACATCTACTTGAAAGAAAAACAACATCCAGATCCATGCAACAGAAATAAAACTTAATTTCAAAAGCTATATACACTTCCAACATATCTACTTTGTGACCCCCCCCAAGGATAAGCTAATTGATATAGGAAATAATGCTTAAAAATTTATAGTACTGAATATCATAGAAAAATGAATAATAGAGTAGACTCATGCTAAAAATTAAAGTTAAATAGATGAGGATTTAATATACCAGAGGGTTTTTTTTGAGAAATTTTACAAGTCCTTAGAAAAGGACTTATAAAACTTATTTTAATTTTAATTAATTATTCTGCTGTAATCTTAGGCAGCATTTTCCATTTTCATTTTATTCCATTTAAAAGTTGAAATTCTTATAGGCTGTCCCTCACCCTGACATACCAATTAATTGTCATTGGGTTTGTTTTTGCAGAATAGAGAGAGAACTTGGTACCTTGCAGTACCTCTCCTGGGATGGGACAAATATCCTAGATTTGAGAACCAGTGTCTAATATTAATCTCACAAGTGTGGAGTTGAAGAGCTCCGTTATAGAATTAACGGTACCTCCTGCTACAACTACTGCACCTGAGGGCAGCACACAGACACACTTGGTTGAAATTTTCAGTGTTCCCTGCACTGAAAATAGGTAGAAACATTTTCATAGGGAGTCAGATGAGATTTTAAGAATATAAAACCGTTTAAGTAACCATTATGTAAGACTGAATAATGCACTCTCCCTGAGATGCCCACACCGTGGTTCCCAGAACTCTAAGAATTTGTAATTATGATGGAAGTGGAGGATCCTGACACGTGGAGACCTAATTAGATTATCCAAATGAGCCCAAAGTCAACACAGAAGTCTTCTTGAGAGGCCAGCAGGACAGTCAGTGAACAGGAGGAAATGTGAAAACAGAACCAACAAGATGAAGTGAGGTGAGGAAGGGACCACAAGCCAAGGAGTGCTGTAGGTTCTAGAATCTGAAAAAAAAAAGCAGAAATGGATTCGCTACTGAAGTCCTCAGGAAAAAAAAAAAGTAAAAAACAAACAAAAACCAGTCCTGCTAACACTCCAACGTTAGCCCAGTGAGACACATGAATTAGTAGTAGTAGTAGTAGAACCAGCAGTAGAAGTACTTTGTGTGTGTGTGTGTATGTGGGTGCACAAGTCTTTGGGCTTGGTCTCAGGGCTTGGGGCATGTCCCTTGCCTTTACTTGCTCAAGGCTAGCATTCTGCTACTTAAGCAATAGCTCCACTGCTGGCTTTTTGCTGGTTAATTGGAGGTAAGAGTCTCACAGACTTTCCTGCCCCGGCTGGCTTCTATGTCAGCCTCTTGAGTAGTTTGGATTACAGGTATAAGCCACTGGCACTGGCTATTTTAATTTAACTCTAAATTTCTTTTTACTGAAATAAAAATTAAGTAACATAAAATTTGCCATTTTAAATTTCATCATATTTAGTATTTTCATAATGTTGAATCATTATCAACACTTAAAAAGTCTTGTGCCCCTTAGCAGTCACTCTCAATTTCCTCTTCTCCCGACACCCCAATAACCACTAATCAATTTATATCTCTATGGATTGGACTCTTGGGGATAGATCATACAAAGGAAATCATACAAAACATGATATTTTGTGTGTCTGATTATCTTTTCCTTA